AATACACAGTATCCCAAAAAATAAAAAAAAAGTCGATTATCAAGTACTCTTAACATGGCATGTTATTTTATCCATCATGAATTACTTTTCTGGAATTGGCAAAAAATAGTTTAATTGCCTTCGAGTGTTGCACATTTAGATGTACTTGAGAAAAATTGGCACCTTTCAATTTCTTTCAATTTTTTTCAATTATTAGATATAAATATTATCGGCAACTACATTTTCCTTATTATGGAAATGCAAATAACACAGAATAATCTGCGATGCCATTGTTTCTATGCAAACACCAAATTTATAGAACATGATCTAAAGAAATGGTTAAAAACGCATTAAGTAAATATCTCTTTTAAATCCATTAAAACGTTTTGATAGCATGTTAAAATTGAAGCATCTTAATAACATGGACTTGTATTAATTAAAATTTAATCAAATTCAAGTACAGAGCCTAGTTTAAATTTAATTGAAATATTGGAGCAGACATCTAATTTTGTAAGTGGAATCTATTCAGTCAGTTTTAAAAATTATTGCAGTTGAAAATCTATGTCTACCTCATATGAAAATCAGGAAATTAAACGGTATGTCTGTTAATGTTAAAAGGAATTATTTGTCGCAATTTTTGATAAATTAGAGTTTGATGGTGTAGTATTATAAACAATCCGAATAAAAAAGAAACGGAAGATATCAATATATAGCATTAACAGTACCATTTTTGTTTTGCAGCAAATCCGCATTTCGACAATTAAGGTCTCTTCAGGAGGGGGTGGACAGCTTTTGAGGGAGGTGGGAGGTTGGGGGGGGGGGGGGGGAGGTAAGAAAGAAAAAAAATTCTAAAAGTGGGAGGTGGGAGATAGGAGCTGGAGGTGGGAGGAGAGGGGGCGGGAGGTGAGAGAAGGATACCCCCTGTCCACCCCCTTCTTCAGGGTGCTCGAGGCCAAAATATTTTAAAATTCAAAAAAATATCAAAAAAATGAAGAGCTTGTAAACTAAAAAGGACAAAAAGTATAGCAAGAGCCAGACCAGGAATTAAAGCTTTGTACTAGGCAGATATATTTCCTTAATTTAAAATAATTTCTAAAATTTTGAAACAGCAATTTTAAAAGCACAACATCTGTGACAATCAAAATTCATAAATCGAAGATAAACCAATACAACCATGGCAAAAAACGGAAAACGAAGAAATGACAAACAAGTCTAACGACAGAACAACACAAAGCCTCCAAAAATGAGAAATCTCAGGTTATCCAGAAGGGTGAGCAAAGCCTGCTCCAAAAGTGACACACGTCGTGTTAAAAAATGTAAGTACACATTCGGTGATAAGTCTCGTTCGGTGATGTCATAACCGAAGAAAAGAGAATGCGACTGTTGCTATGACAATTGGAGCATATTCGTGATCATCTGTGAAGTAGATATTCCATAACGGTCAACAAATCATGATGGCGTCCGTAAAACTATCGAAGGAATGACTTCAACTTTACCAAAAGAAACATTTGGTTCAATAGCTTCATTACAAGCACCGACCCCGTCAAGGCAATCATTATATGAATAAAAGAATCATCGAGTAAACATATCCACGAGACAATAACAGTACAACAGCTTTCCTATGCAACAAGGAAATATCTAATGGTCTTCAAAGAAGGACAAACACACAAGTTATATGGTCAGTTTTCTAACACGAATGTCAAATGGTATCAATAGTGGCGCAGGAACTGCTGACCCTCCCGGAACACCTAAGTACACTAAATTTTACGTAGGGTTCGTGTTGGTCAATTTTTAATTTTCAGTGCAGTGTATCAAGGAACGGTTTTAGTTCGTCTTTATACATTCGATCGTCACGTTTTCTGTCTTTTTTCAACTTATTGTTTATACTTTCCATCCTGTTTCCATTTATCTAAAAATCCCAGGTCAAATTACCATTGAACAAGAACAACTGAAGAGGCGAATATCCACATCAAATCTAAGTCAACAAAAACATAAAAAGTCACATCTGTCTGGACATCCACCTCACATTGGACCCATGCTACCTATAAATGTAATACTAGCATTACCCCAAATCTTTGTATTCACATTATTGCAGGTACATAGGAATGTCATGATTTCTCTCCACTTCAGCTTTTTTTTAACTTAAATTTGAATAATAGACGCAGGATATTTCAATAATTTTACATGTATTGATAACGACAAAAGTTTATTCAGTGCTGAATGCTGAACAATGTTGTGAGAAATTTCTTTCAATAATTAAGGGGGAATGTAAAAACAAATGGAGTTATCGTTTCTATTAAAAACAACTCCGTGTATGTTTATAATTCAAAATTTTGTAGTCATCCTGTCTTATTCAGCTCTCTGATCAGAACGATCTATAAAAATGAAAACAATACCTTATAGATGTCATGTGTCCGAAGTGTCAAAAGCGCTTTTCTAGGTTTACCTTCATCAGGAACGCACCGAGCCGAAAATTTGAAAGCCAAGGATATAAGAACCGAAATAAATGAAGAGCTATATGACCTAAAAGGACATACATACAATATTAGCCAAATCCACCAAAGGTCAACTTTGCCTGAGGCAAATATATATAGTTTGTTGCCATCTTTGTAAAAAGAGATGGAAGATAAGAAGGAGATATTCAAACTGAAGTCAAAGAAAAACTGACAGCACAGCACCGTGACGAAAAACGAAAAACGACGAAAAGACGAAAAGTAAATGCAACACCGAAATAGACCCGAAATGCATTATTTCATAAATGATTTTGCAGTATGTTGTTTATCACAAATCTAGTGACATATGACTGATTGATTGTTGGTTGCTTTGTCCAGTGGCAAATTTTTCATAATGTTCAGTACGATTAATAGATAAATATGATGTGCTCAAAATTTTATATAAATATTTCATACTATTGATGAAGGTCTGGAATGGGGCCCTTCAGTTCTTTATTTTTTAGCTTTTAGACAATTTTCTTTTATTCTTTATTTTTTTGTCCATTCTTCTCTATTTTTTATATTTTAATACCGTATTTTTCTTTATTCTTAATGTTTTCATTCCTATTTTTCTCTATTATTTTTTTTGTACTTTATTCTGCACTTTTTGCCCATTATTCTTTATTCTGTAAACCCAATCTAGACCCTCATACATAACATCTTTCTGGAATTGTATATAGTGTAATGCCATCGTATTAGGAAAGAGGTTGACGACACCAGGAGACATTCAAAAACTCGTTAGTCGAAGATAAACTGACAACACTGTCAAAAAAAGAAAAGAAAAACGATGAAAAGACGAAAATTACATGCAACACTTTGAAAAGACCCGAAATGCATTATTTCATAAATCATTTTGATCTACATTACATATTACAAATCTGTTGACAAATATGACGTGCTCAGAATTTTCTTTTAATACTACATACCATTGATGAGGGTCTGGATGGGGGTCCTTTAGCCTTTTCGACCATATTTTCTATTCTATATTTATTTTGACCCTTTTTATCTATTCTTAATATTCCAGCACCCCAGTATTCTCTTCTATTTATTTTTTGCCTATGTTTGTTTCTCTATTCTTTATGATTTTGTCCCTTTATTCTGGACTTTTCACTCATTATTCTCTATTCTGTAAATCTCATCAAGAACCTCATTGATACAACTGGTTATTTCTAATAAGTTGACGTAGGCATTGATGATGTATTTACATACATACGTGTGGTGCAATTTGAATCAACTTTTGAATTGAGATTTTTAATAAAACGAATTTTTCATTCAAACTTTTCGAAAAAGAAATGTTTTCATGCTATCATAAGATTGTTCAAGTTTTTAACAAGATTTTCTCTGAATAAATTCAAAGGACATTTTATATGATAACTGTTAAACCCAACTTAAACCCATTCGAATTAATAGTGAATTTAATGCTGTTTTCGGGTCCGTTAATATGTAAGAAAACATTTAGAATATACTGTGTCAACAAACTTTTTAGTTCTTGTTTTTCATTCTTCTTACCTGTTCCTTATCGCATATATTTTTTAAAGAAATATAAAATTTAGATGGTTTTACATTGAAAAACCGACTAATCATTTAAAACCAAGGGTTTTGTGTACTCATAAAGTAAAATAGATAACGAGATGTTGAATATATCCTATCAACTCTTAGTTTTTTCTTTATCATATTAGACTAGTCTTGGTATTCAGTTTTAAACTGAAGTTTTTTTGTAATCTATTTTTATCTGTGCATTGTTTTTTTATTTTGTTTATTTCCCTATCCACAACAACAATCAAGACGACTTTGGTAATCCTTGGCATTATTATGAGAAAAAAAAGATAGATCCAGGAATTCATTTACGCGAGAAATAAATAATGAAGCTCTAATTTATATAAACTGATATCTCACAAAAGGCAACAGCAAATTAAAAAAAAATCAGTTTTCATGTATTCTCAGGAATGCTGTTACGGAAAGCACGCAAGATGCTGTTGCTGCAGGTACATTTATATTATTGCTTGTAAGTTTAGATATTGTTAGAGAGAATGCTTAAATACTATTTTCGTTAATAAAACACTTGTTATATGAGAATCATTGGCATTATAAAGAGAGATTCCGCTAGGAAATCATGTCTATCACAGTACCCCAAATAGTAACAAAATTTGTGGAAACTTAATATTCATAAATGGCTACTTGTAGTTTCAATTGTTTTAATGATAACAATTTTAATTCATGACTAGGGTTACATTTTTCTTTCACCATTACTTATTCCTTTTTTTAGAAAACAAGACGAATGGCGATGACATTAAAGTACATTTTTGTCATTAAAATCAAATTCACGTGCGCTAGATATACCCTTTACCGGCGTTCTTACATATATAATAAAATAAAATAATATGACAGTGCATGAATAAATAGAAGAAAATCCATAATATAAATTTATACTACTTAATAACTACAAGCCTTTCAAAAATCATTTATCATAGAAAAATAAATCTTTATGAAAATAAAAATTAAAATTGAAGAAAATAAATGTATTCTTACCTTTGAAATGTTGAGGCTTTCACCTTTGAGTTTAAGGCACCCTTTGTTGGCTTATAATAGTTGCCGGGCTCCAACCTGCGATAACACTTTCACGTTTAAACGAATGTTATTGATATGAACTTCGATCGATGTAAAGGGGATATTTAACTTAGCGTTTTATAATATCAAAATAATTCGAGCTAAAGCTGGCACATTATTTCTGCTTTTCAAGCATTCGTGTGCAGTTGACCTATAATCATTTAATGCAAATTAGACCAGCATTATTTGTAAACATTATGATATTGCATTCTTGACAAAGAAGGTTAACTTATTTAGATAAACTTGAAGTGTATTTAACTTTGTATGTTCTTCAAATATATGGCAATTAAAAGTATAAAAGCTAAACAATGCGATCATGGTCATAGTAGTATATGTTAGTGCAAACATTTAGACAGCTATAGGTCAATCCTTGACTAATAATATTTGTTTTAATAAGGTTGGCAAGTATTATTGTCAACAAATGAACTGCTAGTTTTTCAAAACGATCTTTTCTTCAGTGACGAAATTGACAACGTTTTAGAAGGGGTGGGGGTCCTTGAATTTGAAAGAGGACTTCAACAATCTGTTTGTCTCCTTACTTTTTAAGGACTGTACTGTCAGAGACTCTTTCACCAGGGATGCATCCGACAACTTTTTTGTGAAATTATGTGAATTCTTAGGGTGAAAAGGGGAATAGGAGAAAGAGGGAGGATCAGCTTTTATTCACTTATATTTTTTGCGTGATCAAGACAAAATAAAAGAACTGAGGTATGGAGAAAAAGGGGTAGGGGTTCAGTTTTTATAAGTTAAAGAAGTACGTGATTATAAACAAATCAAAAACTGAGGAAATATGCCTGACTTCGATCTTCCCCTCTCTCGATTTCCTTTACGACCCGTCAACGCTTTCATTATTTCTGATAGAAATTCAAAACTCGAATATAGATTCAAAACGTATTAAAATTATTGCATAACAATCTCTACATCATATGCATGGAGTCATTCGTTGCAGAATTTCTATTCGCTTTGATGCACTATTAAAATAGCTGGCATAACTTTAAATGCTTCATGTTGCTTTTTGAAATGACATTCTATTGAATCAGTATTATTAAAATTGCAATAGATATCAGCTATTGGATTTTTTTTCCTGCAAAGACATTAACATTTTATTTGACTTATTAAGTCTAGAAGACATCAAAAGAAAAAAAAAAGAAAAAAATGTCTCCATGGTTCCCTTTTAGTTACCAGCCATGCATTGGTAAGTGCAATGATTGATTTTAACTCATGTAAAAATATGAAAACAATTTTGGCGTCAACTTTTACATTGTGAATAGTTCTGGTGTTTGAAATTAGATTTATAGATCGACCTTCTCTACGCTTTTATGTTGCATGTTTGATCTTTTATATATATTTTCTTCTGTTCTTTTAAGTGAGGATAAACTTTGAGCAGTTTTCTTTTGTTCCGTGACAAAGAACGCGTAGAGTAACTAAACGACCGAAGATATCTTCAATTAATGAATGGTTTCCTATTTGCATAGTTCTTTACATAGATAACATTCTCAATAATAAATACTGCAATCGTATCTTACTTGTGTCGCTTGGTCATCGTATCTTAAAAGATTTTCTCCACTTTTGTTTAGCCATCGATTTAAAAGTTAAGTGGTTGTACAAGTCAATGTTGGACAAAAGGCGATCCTTCGTATAAAGTAAATAATGTTCCTTTTAATTGACAAATTAAGTAAATATGAAAACATTGCACTACAAGGGATCCAATTATATACCAAGGAACAGAATTATATCAAAATATTTACATTTATTTTAAACGTGATGAATTTGGTTAACTGAATGTCATATTGTTATTATAACATCGAGTTTGACATTCAATTTGAATTTCCTCCGCAACGGAAGAATAAACGGACAATATTCAATTATGACACCATACTTAGACCTGATAACGTGACGTAAAAACCGGATATACGACATGATTAAAAAGGTTTGGTTATGACGTCGTTTATGAATAATACTAAAAATTTTCTAGCAATTTTGCCATTGATCAAGATCAAGGATGAAAATGTTGTCCTGCATTTTTTTAAGTTGTAATCTCTGTCCTGCTTTTTTATTTTTCACTCTATTCGGTCCTGCCTTTTTTATTAGTTTATCCTGACTTTTTTTCAAATTTCATCCTAGCCCCCTATAAAAATCAAATGGTAGCTCCCTAAAATTGAGAATGGAAATGGGGAATGTGTCAAAGAGACAACAACCCGACCAAAGAGCAGAAAACAGCCCAAGGCCACCAATGGGTCTTCAACACAGCGAGAAAAATCCCGGCCGCACCCGGAGGCGGGCTTAGCTAGCCCCTAAACAAAACTGTGTACTAGTTCAGTGAAAATGGACGTCACACTAAACTCCGAAACATATAAATGAAATAAAATTAAAAAATAAACATACAAGACTAACAAAGGCCAGACGCTCCTGACTTGGGACAGGCACAAAAATGCGGCGGGGTTAAACATGATTTGTGAGATCCCAACCCTCCCACTATACCTTTAGTCAATATGTTATTTTATGACCATGATTCAAAAAAAAATGGTGTTGCCTCGAAGGCTCAGTGGTCTAAGTAGTTATTCTACAATGATCACTAGCCAGTCAACACTGATGTTGTCATTTCGGACACTTGCTTGGTTACAATCACGAATTGGTTGACCGATACGATGTGTCGGTTTATGAATTCATTAGCAACATATTTTCGCGATTTTTTGTTGCTTCGCATCACGGTGCAGAGATATTAGTTTCAGTGGATATACACGCAATCTTGAAATAATTACTTATCACATATAGATTCTGATTGGTTGCGTTATGATGCGGCTCAGATACAGCAACAGCTATTGGCTTAAATGAGATAAAGAATTACAGACTTTTCTCGTCTCAGGATAAGACATCAAATGCCGGAAAATTAACTATGTGTATTTCAGTTCCGATCAACTGTCATTAATTCATTTTCGTTTTATTATGCATATATTGCACACTGAAATTCAATATTGAAATATGAATTATTAATACGTGTTTATTTGTTTTGTTAATCTGCAATATGCACGATTTGTTTTACTGAACAATGTTCCTATACAATGTTTACAAAAATGCATTATCTGTATTTTATAACTTCTGCCAATCTAGGCACACATCCATAGAGGCACACCTCCAGAGTCGTGTATTTGTAAATGTTTAAAAATACCACATTTCCAATACTAAATCAACAACCACATGCATACATATTACCTTAAATTAGGATAGAGCGAAGCAGTCCACAGCTTTTTAGAAAGCTCAAACTTGTAGATCTTTAGATGCCAGTAAAGTCGTCAGATCTATAACCGTTTGTGTCCTATTCCCGATTTTGACTGAGTGTTAATTTGCATGGCGGGAGATGCATGCATAGCAGACGACACTTACCCTGTCAATGCGCACCCGGTTTGGCACCTTTTGGAAGGTCATACGATTCCCTCAGTTTTTGTTTGTTATCTTAATTTGTCTCTTTTTTTAAATATCCGGAGCACCTGAGATTACTTCCGATATTTGTTGGGTTCGTGTTGCTCAGTTTTTATTTTCCTATGTTGTGTTTTGTAAACTGTTGTTAATCTTTTCGTTGTTTTTCTTTTTTCGCCATGTATCTTCTGCCCCTCTTTTACAATACCACATTTAAACTTACAATTTGAAAACAGTTACCTCTTTTAATTGCAAATCATGAAGTTACCAATAGCTAATACTGGTGACATATTTCTCTACAATACCCCGTTATCACACTCGTCATCATTTTATGAATAACTAGTATAAAACATACCCTTTCCATTTTTCTTATTAGTTATTCGTTTCTCACAGGGGACATATAGATACGAATAAAGGCAATACAGACACATTTACTTACAACTGTCGTGTTTGCATATTAAATGTAAGTAATGTAATTTATACCTAATTGTTTTCATGATTATTAGGCAGCACCAATGAATTTATATCTTGCTTTGAAAATATTGACAAAAATACACAGATATGACATATAGCTCAGTATTGAAGGCATATAAGTATATATTTGTTTACTACACCAAAAGAATATCAGGAATCCCCCAAAATATTGGACAGTACAACTAACAAAAACAACCATCAACACCTGACTCGTCCAAAAATAGTTGTACAAATAAATAAACACCAACGAACAACTCATGGTCAAGGTAGCCTGAATTAGTACAGGTATATAATGAAGTGGACTTAAGCAAGTTTTATTTGCACATAAAAATCTATTAAGACAATATGTCATGAAACTAGAACCCACAAATAACAAACCTACACAAAGTCGAGTTACCATGGAGATGGTCACTCATTTGAACAAGGAAATAATTATTACACATAATTTTGAAAGCAGGTTTCAAATGTTTTCGCTACTACAGGAAGCTAGCTGAGATATTCACAACCGGTGGTTGAATACTGCCGCTCAAGAAATCAAAACGATCAGATTTATGAGAGACAAGTAAGTATTAAAAAGGAAAACCATCAAATATACCAGACTTGTTATCTAATACACCAGACGCGCGTTTCGTCTGCATAAGACTCAACAATGGCGCTCGAATCAAAACAGTTGTAACCGGACGCACATTGATTGCAATCCGAAAATTTCAAAAGTTATGCCAAATCGGACTAAGGTCATCTATGCCTAGGGGTAAAAATCCATAGTATTTTGAATGATTTTTTGTTACATTTTATTAACAGGAAACGATCATTCCTCTGACATTTCATGTCAGCACAGGAACCCATACTACCGGTCTTTGGATACATTCGGAGACAAAAGGTCCTCCGTTAGTGGGATCGACCAAGTGGTTGTAAAAACTCAACACAGATACCAGGCTTATAACTTAAGAAATCGTCTGATCATCGGAACCATCTTTTAAAGTGAATAAGGAAGTATATCACATCTAATATGGATTTAGTTCTAATATTGTAAATTTTGAACAGAACGAAAACAAATTGAATAATAGAGCTACTGTTTTCCGTTTAAAAGGTTTTTACACTATTCTTGTGAAATGTAACTATAAATAACTGGTGTCATGTTGATAGTCAAGTATTTCAATGAAACGCTATAGAATGAAGAAAAACTTAATGAGGATT